TGGTCCGACAGCAGTGTTACACTCATGTGGATCAAAGGCAACAAAAGTTTACCCGTGTTCATCCGCAATCGAATATCGATAATCAAAGCGAACACTCCAGAAGTTGATCTTCGCTTTGTACCTGGCGAAACGAATCCTGCTGACGTAGGCAGCAGAGGTGTTTCGATCATAGATCTCAAAAACTTTTGAACCATGGTGGAAAGGAGCAACTTTTTTAACCAAGCCTCAAGACCAATGGCCAATGGATATAACCAGCGATCCAACAGAGCATTGCTGTCATACACAAGAAGATCAGATAAGCGAAACTTATGTTCAACATATACCAATCGATCCCGAGCGATTCAGTTCTTGGTCACGATTCTCCACACGGTACAAAAGGTGTTGCTATTTCTAACTTGCAGAATGAAAAGAACTCAGGATCTTTGGAAATAGCAGCTCATCATTATTCAAAAAGGCACATATCATATTGTTTCGATTTGCTCAGATGCAACATCCTCCCACAGAAGAAATCAAAAGGCAGCTGAATCTTTTTTACGACAACCATGATCGACTATGGAAATCGAGAGGACGCATCACGAACGCAAACCTGCCGGAAGAAACAATCACACCGATCTTCTTGCCGAGAGAAAACCGCATTACGTGGCTCTTCATACTTCAAATTCATCAAACAAGTAATCACAGCGAAGTCAGTCGCACTCTGAACGAGCTGAGGCAAACTACATGGATTCCAAAAGGAAGACTGACGGTAAAACGAGTTATACACAAAATGTGTTATCACTGTAAAAAAAAAAGCTCAACCTTATTACCGCCGTTTCCGCCACTTCCACCAAGGAGAGTACAGCAAATCAAATACCCCTTCGAAAATTCAGGAATGGATTATGCTGGACGCCCCTTTTATGCGAGACGAGCGAAGATGAAAACGCAAAATACTGGGTACTCTTGCTTACTTGCTTAAAAACTAAGGCAATATACATCGACCTTCCTAGACATGCCAGCCAGAACGCTTCTTCAAGCACTCAGGCGATTTTTTCGCAAGTACTGCATACCCAAAGTGGATCCTGTGTGACAACGCAAAAAGCTTCAAAACCATCAGTAAGCTGCAAGACTACTTTCAACCTTCTTATGACACGAACAAAGATATCGTGAATTACTGCGCACAAAGAATGATCGAGCTCAAGTTTATTCCGAGTTTCAGCCCATGGCAAGGTAGCCTGACGAAAAAATGGTCCACATCTTCAAAATATCTTTCAAACACGCATTGAACAATCGCAAGCTTCACTTTGAAGAACTACGAACCATTGCTAAGGAAACAGAAACCATCGTGAACAGCCGTCCGTTCTCCTATATCGTGGAAAGTGACACAATGACGCCACTACGACCTATAGATTTCCTGCCTCCTTGGACTACATTGTCTCCACCGAGATTTGATGAAAACCGCACCTTTCCTTCTACCACAGCAACAAAAGAGCAATTACTGGATGATTGGAAAATTTATGAACGTGACACTCAATCGGTTCTGGAAACGATGGTCATCCGAATACTTGACGAGTTTACGAGAACAGTTCAATATTCATCATCCACATCCACGGGTGATCAACAAATTATGACCAAGAGAAAATGACTTCGTTCTTGTTCAGGAAAAATCTCTGGAGAGAGGGCAATGGAAACTTGGACAAATTGTATCCTCAACAGATCAATACCAGAGATTGGCAAATGTACGCTTACCTTCCCGCAACACCATAACCAGGCCCATAAATATGCTCTACAAGCTAGAGATTCATGAAGAAGAAAAGGGAAAGAAGCCCAAGCTACCTCCACAAGAACAGCCGTACAACCGACATCCAATGATGACAAGATCGAAAACGCTCGCTAAACACTTTCTCTTGGTCAACATCATGTGCTACTCACCATTGCATTCACACCAATGCTCATGCAAACATCCAGAGCTCATCAAAGAGTTGCCCCACAGAAATAAACACACCCAAAACAATAATCTATGCCACAAATTGCGTGAGCAAAGGACTTGCAATAGCAAGATATACTCTCGATGGACAAAACAGATTGTGCTGGTTTCCCATCCTGTGTCCTAATGGGGCCATTCGAGTCTCCATTCCCTTTCAACAGAACGAAGGAGTCTGTGGACCACCGTGTCTTTGCCCCTCATGGGCAACATCGTGCTCATTCAGCTCAAGTCCACGAAGAGTTTCGTCCAAAATCCAAACTATACCACTTCAAATATCTACTTATCGGCCAAATCTTGTATGCTCGTTTATCACATCAGAAAAATGTGACAAGCAGAAGCGGATTGGCAGCTTCAATCAAGTAGAGCTCTATGACAACACTCTTCTCGTTGTTCCTGAATTACATATTGCTATTGAAGAGTATCTGGACTCCAACGACTATCTTTGCTTCGATATGAAGGGTCTTCAAAACAAAAGCAGAACCACCTTACACAGGATCATCCTACTTCTGCAACAAAAATCAATGTGACGAGAGGCTCAAATTTTTTGCACCTTTGGAACAGCAAGTGCAGTATTTACAACTCCAAACGGATCCTTCCTGGTAAAAGCGTGGGGAGTAACAATCAAAGAATACTACGGCTACCAAGTCGTAAGTTCCGAACAAAAAACGAACTCCGCACATTGTAGTAAAGGAGGCATCTTTCTAATATCAGAACTCCGATAAATACCGCTGAAGTTTGCATCGATAGCTATTGCCAGTTCATACAAAATCCAACAAATTCCAACGTCATCTTTCCAAGCAGTCTCGTTGCTTCTCGTACACTGTATCCATCTCTTCATGGTCAAACGGAAAACTCTGTCAACAAGAGAAGGTCCAGTATCAAGCATTTCCTGTATGCGAACTCACTGAGTGCAGCTTGTGTCTTGAGCTCCTATACAATCCAGATTGTTGGACCACGCCTCATACAACAATAAACATCGGCTTGGTCATATTTTCTTGTAACAACATGTCTCATCATACCAGTCCTGAGACTGATGTGCTTTGTAGGCAGATTTCCACTAAAAGCCGTGCATTGTATCTTCAAAAAATGCTTTGCTATCCTTCCTAGGAAAAGGATCACAAAATTACCAACATACACAAGTCAGAAAAAGCTCTTCATCGCTATTCTGATCTACCTGACGAGAACATCACTGAGCTGCTCTGAGGTTGTAACCTTTTCAGCCACAAGAGAGTTATGCACAAGAAATGATATCAACGAATCCTGCACCTTTGACCAGGCAACAATGATGACTCTACAACCCCTCAATCAAGAGACGTGCCTGCTCATGCGCAATTACAACAACATTTACTTCGGAATGATCAGCATAAGAGTCACCGGAATGTACTTCACATGCCGTGAAAAGGTGGAATTCTATACTCGCGATCACCAAATGGTCGAATCGGTCCACAGATGTCGATTCTGTGGAAGCTGTAAATCCGAAACATGCTACTCAACAAAAACAACTGATAAGATTGAAAAACTATCAGGAACTGCCAATAATCATCCCGCTTACACTCTTTGTACAGCTAGTTGCGGATGTCTCACATGTGGGGGATGTTTCTTCTGCATGTCTAGTTGCCTTTTTTATCGATACTACGCAATGCCAAGAACAACAGATGTGTACACCGTGTTCCACTGTCCAGCATGGGAATTCACCATTGAAGCACTCATCATACAACAACAAGGTGAGTACATTGAAAGCACGAATATTCGCCTATATCCAGGAGAGATTTTCAAATGGAATTCTCTACGATTGTCTCTCATAGGAACAGTGATCCCTCAACTTCCAATTCTTTCCTCAATTTGTCACTAATGGAAAAATCATGGCAAGCACAAAACCCGCATTTCGAGGACAACTAGTACCCAACACCATAGGCCAACTCCAGTGCGACAATTATAAAAAGGCCCAAAATTTCGACTGCTCATTCTCTGCAAATACATGCTCTTGCACACCAGCAATAAATCAAGTATCCATGCGGCAATGGCGATATCAGCAAGACATTGATGAAATTAACACTTCCGCTGATGATGAAAAATGTCATGATATACCAAAAAGGAGAGGAAGTTGTTGCAAAAACGGACGTTGGCAGCGCGATACAACTGCATGTCACTGTTGAAAATATGAAACTAACGTCCGTAAACCAAAACACTACATGCACGCTTATGGCGTCAGAACTATCAGGTTGTTACAACTGCATCGCCGGAGCGCACGTAAACATCTCATGTCAGTCAGAAATAGGCGAAATTTCAGCTGAGATAATGTGTGGGAATCAACAACAAGTAGCAATCTGCACTTCTACTGGACACATTAATGAATTGAGCTTCGTCTTCAACCAAGGACATGTAAAAGAAAATTGCACACTGCTTTGCCCGGGAGGAACTATCCAGTTTCTACTCGAAGGAGAACTTCACTACATTGAAGACAGTCCAATTTTACTCGAAAAGGACATCGATACAAATTCAGTGAAAGCAGCTCCAGGTTTCTTTGAAAATGTTGTGAAACATATGAAAACTCCATTCAACTTTGCCGCAGAGTCATTTTCCTCATTTGCACATTTCAAATTCTTTTTCCTTTTGATTCTTTTTCTTGTCCTAATGTAATTTTTAACTTTTATTATTCAGAACTTGCTTGTGACGCTAAACGCAAAGAAAAGTAACTAAATTTCTCGTTGTTGGGAGTATTCTGTATTTGTACAGAATTTCTTCAATGTATAATGTTTTGTCTAGTTAAGCATTTCGGGAACTGATTCAGCATTGCTTATGTTTTCACTAGCCAACATTATGCTGTATTATTACTCAATTTCCACATACTTAGTATGGATATACAAGCCCCTGTTACATGTAATAAACGCCTTCAAGCTCAATCAGTGTGCAAAAGTAGTACATAACAGTACATAACAGTATAGTAGTACATAACATTTTTGATAGTTGAATCAATGATGTGTTGTTTGAATTGTTGATAGTCTCTTTTATACTCAGTAAAAACCATCCAACCTACTTGAAAAGTTTGACCACGTCCTTGTATCCCTCATATTTCGAAGCACCATTTTCGATCTGTTTTGGCGATTGCAGGTTTAGAGGGTTATCGTTGTTTGCTGAATGAGCACGCACTGGCACATCAATGCAACTAGACAAGCATCTATTCAACTTTTTTATACAGAAGTTCCGAAGTAAACAGTTGTTCGCTGCATGGTATGAATTTCCATGAAGCACGCTCACAGTTTATGCAGGAAAGCAAATTTCCTAGACATATGTATGCCACGAAAATTACTTGCATGTAAAAAAATGAATCTCTTCAAATTGAGCGCCTTCTACTGACGTATTGTATGCTCTGCTAGTTTTGCCAAAAACGAGTATCGCTTATACTCTTAGCCGAGAATTTTAACTGTATAGGATACTAAAGGAAAGATGTCCCTCAACATTTTTTGCGACAGAGGTCTGACGCCGACTAAGAGCGCCAACTAAGGGTGGACGAAGTAAGCAGTGATAGTCAGATTGATTTTCAGTATTTCGAGAACAAACAATCCTCGTTATGCCTTATTAAATGCTACCAATTTGTCGCCCTTCAAAGTAGGGATAATTTGTCATTGTCATTCAGTCGCCATTCAAAATTTTGCAAAATTTCGGTATCTTATTGCAGCTGTTCCATGAATTCCTTCGAAGCATTTTGTCTGCTTGCTTTTTCATGTTCCTATATTTGAATCTGGTCTACTTACTTTTTTAAGCTCTGTCTTTTTGGTGCTACAAACTTTCATTGGTCCACTTCTCTCTTAATTTTCGTCTTTATCGCTTCTTTCCAGTTTTGATAGTTATCATGCACTGTGCAACTGTGCACATCATCTGAAGACCTGTTACAGCCATTCGATATTGCATTACAAAGTGAGCACATCGTACTGGTGCCTTTTAAGATAAAAGAAATTTTGGATAGACGCTGCAAAAGGTAGTGCCCTGCAAATTCTGCATTTCCACCTTTCTTCATGTTTCAAGCCTTTTCGACACCTAAAACCCGAATTTTAGCTTTAAAGGGTGAAGAGACCGTTATTGAAGCGCTTACCCATTTCCCAAAAGGCAGCTCGCACGACAATGTCATGAAAAATTGGGAGAACCTGGCACGAAAACCCTGCCGCCTGTAATTTTTGCTTGAGATAGCATGCGAATGTGGGAGCGTTTGTGCGGTAGGCAAAGCTGTCCGACCGTGCCGAACGAAGTTGCGCGCCGATTTGAGGGCTATTTTCTCGGCGCGAGTAAAACAAGCAGCCGGGTTGGGCTCAAAGGTTAGTGGGGTGACCAGAAACCCCACCACATTTGAATCCCACAGGGCGCGGATCTGCCTTTAAGGAGGTGGGCGTGCGCGTAATTACCTACTACTTACGAATATCCTTTTTATCCCTAAAATCGACTACCCTGTATTGTCACCTATACACTGGGCACTGCGTATAACTTCTTCCCTATTTTTTTCACTTTTGATAACGTGTGGAGTGCCTAAAATGTGTATACCTGCAGTCAAATGCAAAAATGGTATAGCGCCTCTACTCTTGTTTTTGGATAATCTGAATTCTGTTAACAACGGGACGATACTCAGTGTCCTTGGCCCATTGAGATGTAATGTGTATCATTACACTCCTCTTCGAACACTGTTCCCGAATATGACTTTCGTCTTTGCTAATCGTTTTTCTGAAGGATGTGAAGGATTTTCGCTCCGAGTTTGGCCCCTGAGGAAAATGCGTTAAACACATCAATGCCGCCGGTACGCTGTGTTGTAGGGTTAGCATTGCCTCACAAATTGATGCAGATAAGCTAATAGTAATCATTTTGATGTGTGAATTAATCATTTTTTCCTATTTTCCACCTTTTTGTGAAAAGTTAGGGCACGAATTTACCTTGAGGATGCCTAACTTTCAAAAAGAAACTCAATTGGGACCAATGCAAAACTGAAGAACAAAAGGGATTTGGGCCTAAACCTGCATAAACTTGTAAGATCGCACCGGCTTCGCGCGCCTATCGCAATTGCCTTTGGCGACCGAACTTAACGCGATCCCTTACAGCTTCTTTCATAGAAACATTAGCAAAAACGGAAGTCTTATTCGGAATCAGCGTACCAAGACGAGTGCAATGGTATACATCTCATCTCAAAAGGCCGAGGACACTGAGTATCGTTTAGTTGTAAGCTCAAAATCTACCGCCAGGAACTATGTACAAACAGTGCACAACAACAGGGTCTTAGCACACGAATAACAGTAGATTTTCTCAATGAAAAAAATCAAAAATGCTATATTCTTTTCAAGTAATTTTTTAAGAACAAAGCGTTTGCTTTGTTTTCAAGTAATTTTTTCAGTTGACAAGTAATTGTTTTTTATTCGAAGTGTCTGCAAAATACATTACTATTTTTCGACCTTTTTGAACATCAAAACAACTGTGTGATTCGAAAGAAAATTATTTGGAAAGGCGAGCTTTAACAAACAGCTCTAAATTCTCTTACGTTCTTCGCCGTCGATCTTCCTTGGCATATGGACAGAGACCACCACAATTAGAGCAATATTCACGCAAAGCATAAGGAGCAAGGTGATTTGTATGAGTAATTGTTGTACAAACAATGTAGACCGCTGCGATCCAGCTAAAATGCAAAATTTGGTACATGTAGATTGTATCTTGTGTTTAAAGTCCAGTGTTGGCTCTAAGTTTGCAAAGTCTATTGCCGGAAGAAAGCGCGAAGGCGTAAAGGCGGTTTTTAACGCGTTGACGACAACCTGCGTTTTTAGTTGTCTGCCTCTTTGGACATGCCTTCCAGTCAAACATTTTTCAACTAACGTCACGAAGATCATCGTCAACATACCTACACTGATTATATTAGGTCGTGTAATAAGTTCTGTCCCATTTTTTGTTTTAGTTTTTTCACGACAACATTGACTTAAATTGAGATAAAATGTATATGCTTGTGAAAGCTCCAAGTTTGCAGGCTCTATGCATCATTCCCGAGCATAGCAAGAACTTGAAAAAAATTTTTATCGTTGAAACAAAAAATCCAAAGAACCGAAAAAATCGATTTTCGACACCTTTTTTTTCCTCCAAATTTTTCTCGCTTTTCGTTGATAGAACTTAATAAACAAGCTTGACAACAAGCAGAACAATCTATTAGACTCTTACGCTTCATTCTATCACTGTTTGCGCTTGTTCCCTTCCTTCCACCGAGTATTTAATGACATTTTTTTAAAAGTCGGCAAAGCAAGACTTTGTTCACTCCGATGATCGCCATCTCGCGTGCCCAAGCTGTGTGGCTCTCAAATTCGAATTTTGAGTATTTAGCCAATGAATTCGTTAATTTTGGAGCCACAAACCATCCCTTCTGTCTTTTCTAAACGATCCGCCTACCGTCCTCCCTCAGGATGCCTTCAGATGATGCCGAACGTCAACGTTGAAAAGGCGTTAAAAAGAAGATTCTTTTAAAGTTTACAGAAATGATTTCTGAAAAGTTTGGCAGTCCTGAAGTGCAGTAGAAGCTATAGCATTCTTTGCTTACGTGTAGCAAATTTTCGAGCTCATTCGTAGGCATTATGACTAATTGGAGGGCGACGTAACGTAGTCGTCGAAAATGGATTTTTCCCCTGTTTGATTTTCCAAATTTGACGCTGTAAAACTCCTTCAAGTCTTCTGATGTAAAGAACCGAAAGTTTTAGAAGAGAAGGATTAGAGCTTTCATATGCATATAACCAATTTGCAGAACATCGCGCAAAGTATTAAGAAAAAATCGAAAGAAAAAAATGGGACAGAACTTATTACACAACCTAATATAAAGCAGGCAAAAACCACAACAGCAATTTTTAGGGTTACAGTGCAAGAGAACTTCTGAAACGAATGTATTCCAAATTAGCGAATTGTTCTATATTCCAAATAAGGTGTTATCAAATATGCTGAAGTTAATTCTTCATTCAAGAAAATGGGCCTACTGTTTGATTGTTAATATCTCTTGTAAAGAAGTCTTTCGAGAAGCTGTAGGTGCCGTTTTGTAGAGTTGGCTTTAACTTAAATATATACCCTATGGAGCGGACTACCGACTGCACTCCATTACTCTAGGATTGCGGTAGAAACTTCAAGCATATGGTGCCACCGTGGAAAAGTTGCAGTTCCAAAAAATTTCAGAAAAGTGATAAAACTTGTGCAATAGGGTCTTCATGAACGCTTCAACACTCAACTATGTACAAGATTGCGAAGCTTTCTAAACTGTGTACCTCAGTAACATGCCGTGTTATGCCAAACCAGGTTTGTTGGTGGATCTCTTTATTAGACCTGACGGTTTCGATTGTCTCGTTTTCTTCAAAGGTCTAAACGAAGATTTACTTTGATTTGGACAATACACAACCAAAACCCTCCTCTCACACTCTGCCAGTCTAGACCTATCAAAGGCTAGCAACATGAGACCGTGAAGTTGAAGAAACGAGCCGACCTTGTCCACAGCATTCCAGTAAGTCCACACAGCTACTTATCTTTAGTAGCAGACGTCGCAGTGTCACCGAGTGAGTCAATGCTTTTGTGTGCGGCTGTTAGATTGCATAACGATAGATACGGCAGAAGGTCACTGCTGATCGGCACACATTCATCTTGACATTCATTTGGGTTTCCTCGCGGAAATCCACGCTGCTATTTTTTCGCGCATATGTAAGCCTCAAACGACAATATGGTGCATTTCACGATATAGTCATTTCAGTAAAAAGAAACCATGCTCGAATTTTTTTTCAAAAATTGGGTAACTAAACCGACCGCGAGCCGCGAAGACCATTTTTGGATTTAGGCACGGTCCCTGCTGCTACCGACGCCTACAAGGAGAGCATCTACAGCCACCTTCTACATTGTGTAATGTCGCGTTCAATCGCTCAATTGAGTTTGGTCAAAATGCATTGAGGTCCGTTGCTGGCCGACGATCCTTTTAACCTTGCCCTCTCCGTTGACAACCCTGCCCCACCCCCCGCTGTTCTCTGGAAGCTTTTTTCATGTAGGAGGTATATGAAAGAGACCCTGGATGACCGCGAAACCTTTGTAGACTTCAACTTTTGGCCGGTCCCATTCATGCCAAGCCCCCTAGAGAGCAGCGGCGAGGCGGGGTGTCAATGGAGGGGCGGGGTTAACGAAGAGGATTGTCGGCCAACAACGGACCTCAATGCATTTTGACCGAACTCAGTTGAGCAATTGAGCGCGACAATACACAATGTGAAAAGTGACTGTAGATGCTTTCCTTGTAGGCGTCGGCGGCCGCAGGGATTGTGCCTAAGTCCAAAAGTGGGGTCTTTCCGGCTCGGCGGTCGGTTTAGTAAAAAAAATTCGAGCATAGGCATAATCTTTTGACTTAAATGACTTATCGTGAAATGCAGACTTACTGGGTGACATTCAGTGACGTCTGTTAAATAAGTATGTGTGGACTTACTGGAATGCTGTGGACAAGGTCAGCTCGTTTCTTCACCTCCATGGCCTCATGTTGCTAGCCTTTGACTAGGTCTAGACTGGCAGAATGGAAGAGGAGGTTCTTGGTGGTATATTGTCCAGATCAAAGTAAAGCTATGATCTTCGTTCAGACCTCTGAAGAAGACGAGAGAGTCGAAACCGTCAGGTATATAAAAGAAATCCACGGATAAACCTGATTTGGCATAACACGGCATGTTACTGACACTTTAAAAGATGCCCAGGTTTGAAGATAAGAGAGCATTTAATCTAGCGTGTAACATCACTTTTTAGTAAAATTGGGATAACCGCCGCTACTGCTTACCTCGCATGACGTTTTAATAAAGCGTTATAATAAGTTGCGAACTTTACCTCTCGAATGAGAAGCTCAAATTAGCCTAGTGTGAGAGTTCTTAGGCTGTTTTATTTCCTTTCTGAGGCAAAATATGGCCTTTCATAGCTTATGACCCTGTTATAATTTCCTACCGTAATCGTACAGTAATGGAAAGCAGTCGGTAATCCCTCCACGCCGTAGATCTAAGTCGAAGCCAGCTCAACAAAATGGTACCTAAAGCTTTTCGAAAGACTTCATTACAAGAATGTTAATGACAATCAAACAGTAGGCACATTTTTGGAAAACCCTGTATATCAGGTCGTTCCAAAAGTAATGTCGCTTGTTTTTCAAGCGAGCGCCACATTTGTGAAACAGAGATTTTTAGGAGATCTTGCTAGCATTCGATGCAGCATTACATCAGCTTTCTGACGGTCATGACATCGTTGCATCAAAATCATTGAGCTCTCAAAAACTTTCAAAAAAGTTAAGATTTTGAGATTGGTTTCACAATTTTTTTCAAACTTCCATATCAATCTTCCAAGAAAGTTTAAGTAAAATATCTTTAGAAAAAAACCCTACAGGAGGCAAAACAATTCTCCTCTCCTTTCCACGACTCTTCTTACTTTTTGACAGAATTTCAACGGGTGCTACCACTTTTCATACCTGGTAAAATAAAATCTTATAGATCATTGAAGGGAATGCGGCTTGAGTGCTGTTTCATGCAACTTCTTCTTCTCATTTTGACGGTTGCTTTCGTTTTTGATTCGTGTATCCTGGATAAAACCCTTATGACTCATGTGTCTGTATGCCTTCCAGGCTGTACTCGAAAAACTCGCAATTTGGTACTTCGAATCGGTAAACTCTCATTTGCTTCGTATAATTTGCGTTATTATTGTACCATCTTGAAAATTCCAAACTCCGAAGAATTATTGGTGATTGATGCAAGTTGGTCGAGGTTGGCTTGCCAAAATACGATAGTTTTAGTGTAAAAAAACTTTCAAAAAGTTGTGACGCTATGAGAGACAGACAAAAAAGTCAGTGGATCCTCTTAGATTTGCTCTATCCGATCGTTACTTGAACTTTCTCGGAGGAATGATTTGAAAGCTTAGAGAAATAGTGAAACTTGACCATCTTAAAAATCAAGGATCGCAGATTTTGTTGATTTTCCGATAGTTGACTATGCTGCAACGATTATGGCCATTAGAAAGATTATGAAATGCAGCATTGAATGCTCCCAAGATCTAACAGAAATTTGTCACACGATGGGAGGCGTTCTGAATAAAGCGATATAAACTTTCGGAATGACTAAATATTTGAAAAAATTACTTTTTCATACGTTCATTAGGTTAGTGCAAGACACTTAATGAGCGTTTTGCAAGTTCCCACTTTGACGTACCATATCTTTTTCAGACCTCCACATTTCTTAGGCCTAAGGCATACCTCACGCAATTCGGCCGAATCGCCACTTTCACGCGACTTGGCGATTTGCCAGGTTTCTACAAATATACATGCGCACTTCTCGGACGCATGTTTGGGTAGCTTGTGTAAGTTGTTGCAAACAGAGCAAGTTCTGGCCAAAGGCAGCGCATTAACGAGGAATTACGAAGAATCGCTATTGTGCCAAATCGCGCAGCGACCGGAATCGCGCGAGGTATGCCTTAGGCCTTAATCTACAAAAATCATCAAAAGCAGCAAATCTTTCACAACACAGCTCACATTAATCTGTACCAATATCATGAACGGGCAGAAAAACACGGATTTAAAATCAAAAAAAATTGTTTGGACCTTGTTTTTGACGAATCATAACTTCAAGTTTTCTTGGTACAATTGGTAAATAGCCCATCTTGTACTCTCAAATTAAAAGTACAAAGCAAGATGAAAAGAGCCGGACGAAAAAATTTGCAAAGAAAAAATAAAAAGTGAAAACTGTCACTTTTTTTCAAAATTTTTACAGGCCTAAAAGTCCCATGTTTTAGCTTTTTGATCTTCTGCATAATAAACAGCTGACCTTTTCTGCAGAAAACTGTGAAAAAGCTACCCCACCCTTACGCTTTGGGCGATTGGTTGTTTAATCAAATCCATGAACAGAATGGCCCATCTTGAGGTGTCGATATCTCAGCTTAGATGAGCTCAAAAATGTGGTCGAGCGTACGTAATGTAGACAATCTCTACCACATGCAGTAGCTGCATTTTCGAATGATTGCCACCATTCGCGCATGTATATACTTTGGGCAGAAAAGCAGCTGCAATGAAATTCTGTTTTGATTGCGGAAAGCTCAGTAAATTTTCAACTAATGAGGCAAGATTCTTGTTTCAACTACCATTATATAGAACATGAGAAGAGCTTTTCAACGCTTGCTCAGGGTATGTCAAGGAAAGAAGTCTGATGAAAAAAACTTTTCTGAAACAAGGCCTGGAAAAAAGCTCATTACTTATGCAACAACCTAATAAGAATTTGAAAATGGCATAGCTAACAATTTTTTCGCTTTGAATGCAAAATTTTACGGATCTCAACTGCTTTTCCCGAAGTACTTCACTGAACAAAAGTCCTGACATGGTTGTAATTTGATAATTAAAATGTATGATGTGGCGTGTAGCTTTCGGAAACTGGAGAAATTGACGTAAACAAATTGAAGTAACTGCGCATGACAGATAAAACTTGAAAGTTGAGCTTCTCCGCGTGAAAAAAGCGCTTATTGCAAAAAGCAAATGAAAAATGTCCTCTAGCTCAAGGCTAACAATGCCAGAGCTCGGCACAAGGTGGCTTTCCGAAATCGCAAAAAAGAACGCCCATTACTCATCCTTTGACTTCACTATTGAAGTACGACATCCCCATGAGAGATTAGGAAAGAAAACACAAGAAAAGGAACGGAACAAAGGAAAAACAAAAAACGCCAAAGAAGCATCAAATAAATGCGATAATATTCGTATTCTTCGGATTGGCGGCAAGATGTATCCAGCGCGCAGCACTACGCGCCTGGAGCAGCATTGTCGCTGCCATTCAAAGTTTTCTGGGACTGTAACTAAGCGAGGAGGAGGAGGTTTGGGACCAATTTGTAGGGCTTGGGATGTAGATGAGATTTATCTAAAAAAGGTAGAATAATTATGTAAGGGAGGGAAATTTTTATGTCTTTTTCTTTCCCAAGCCACCTCAGATGGCTTCCAGGTGGCTTGAAAGCCACCCAACTTCAGAAAAAGTTGAGCACCCCTTCAGTTCACAATCTTTCCATAAAATTTCATACATAGTCCTACCTCTCCTTGCCCATCTACACACCAATGTTGGTGTCATTTCATTTTCTTTGCCGGCAGCCGGCAGCACGCGGACCGCAAAAACGATGTGTTTTTGCTTTATCTCCTAGAAACGATATCCAGCTTGTTTAATAAGTCACCTGTGCCGTGCCCTGCTCAGGGCTCGTCACTCTTAAAGCACTGTTAGCATCAAGCTATTGTGCATGTGGTAACTGTTTCCTTAAACAATGAAGCGTGTTACTGTTAATCCCTACCGTTCAAATATGGGTACTCAAAATTGACAATTGTCTAGTGATGTGACCAATTCTGCATTCAAACCACAAATTTTCTTACAAATGTAAATGACACGCCGCCTCGATGCCACCTAGGGAATCATTATAACTGCGCATTATCTATCAGCCACCTCAGCACATCTTTTATGTATCTAAGAAAATTGTCGCATTGTAATCTTTCCTCTGTATCCGCTAAAGACTATCTATAGAGCGGAATGATTAGTAAATTCTTACTTTTCAGTAAAGCCGAAAGAGAAGATTTTTGGGCGTCAGGTCCACCAGCGTTCTTCTGTAATACTGTGCGCATGCAAATTATGACTACGATGCTTGGTTCAACTCACAGGTTCGGATATTCTTTCTTCTATATGGTCATATGAACCGCTGCCGCGTGTAGCTCTACTCTCCGTATGCCCAGTTTTATTCAAGGGCAGTGTCTTATCCTCTATGTAATTATAGGTGCTGTCCTCTGCTTCTGAGCTTTTCCGATTATGTTCAAATAAAGACTTCACCGTTTCCTTTATCATGTTGAATAAAATAAAAAATCTTTTAGCGGTTGCCTATATCTGCATTCAGCCACAATTACAGCATCAACCAGCGACCACAAATAACCAATATTTTCGAATCGCACTGAAAGTACAGTACGTACAAATATCATTGACTGATACTCAGGTATAGTAAACTGAATTGGATGTACAAGGTTCATTTCTGCATTCTGCGCAAGTAAATCTTTAAAAATTAACAATCAGCTAGTGAAGGGTGGAATAATGATTTGGTTACGGCTTACTTCAAAAAGAAGTGCTCAAAAATGAACAGTATAAGAAAAAAAAGTTGTAAAAGATGTTCTGCAGTGAAAATAAAACGATGCAAGATGCAACGATGTAGTTAAGGGTTTAAGTTTACTGCTATGCACTGCTTCAAACACACTTGTCTTCTTGTCATTAGCGATGCTTATCAGTTTCCGAGTGATTAGATAGCGCCATTCTATGTCATCTCAATGACAGGTCATGTGCGCTATGTTCAATGTGGAAGAGTTCGATTGATTTCTGGTTTTTCGTAAATATGTGCACAAAGATCCTTACTAACACCGGATGAGGTTGTCCTACCAGTTATTATGGTAACTCTTAGAGTTTACGCCCACTGAGAAGAAATGGTATCTCACTGTACAGGGTGTCCCAAAAAATGTGAACACTGTTTGATCATTGATAACTCTCTTGCTCTCATGTCTTTCGCCGAGCTTGAGCTACCAATCTGTAGAGCGAGGTTCAGCTTAGATACCAGTATGGAGCGATTCATTGATCGCTCTTTATTACTGTAGGATTACGCTAGGAAATTCGACAAGGAATTTTGAGCCGTTGGAGGCCATATTCTACCTCGGAACAAAACTAAACACCAAAGACTTTCATGCTATGGCAATGGAAGCCGCTGATTTCGAATATGAAATTCCAACTCCTGTAATGCTTCTTTCCTAGTTATCGCAGGTAGACAGCAATAAGTAAATTTCCAGCATTTGTCGGAAATGTGATTACACCGTCAAAAAACTGAAAACGCTGTAAAAAGTTGTGTATTAGAATCAGACGCGAAAACCCCAGCATACAATTTTTCAAATTTTTTGAATGAAATTTTGTCAGATGGCATATTTCACTATGATTCCACATGCTGGAACTTTTCGTCGTAATCTGTTAACGAAAAGCGATCGGTAATTTGCTTCATACTATAGGTCTAAGTTGAACCTCGCTCTACAGAATGGTGCCTCAAGCTCGGCGAAAGATATGAAAGCAAGGGATCTATTAACGATCAAACAAAGTTCACATTTTTTGGGACGCCCTGTACACCATCTAAATGGTTATCTGCTTTTATTGATTAACTGATTCTGGTCGTCAACAAAATATGGGAGCGAACGATAGTCTACAGTAATGTGTAGATTAATCTACAGGTGACTTCAAGATATAAGATCTGTTTTGCTAAGCGACTTGTTTGTTTGATCTAAAGATAAAAAAACAATCCTTGGATAAAGTGTTCGATAATCCAAGGGTTACAAATAATTGTCATAATTTACACTAACAGACTAAGCGTCTTTACGTGTTTTTATCTGTCTGTCTGTAACGAAATTCACAGAACGAGCCGCAGTTAAGGTTTCAAGCTGCACTTTTTGCACAGCCCACACTGCCAGCATCTAGATTCACTATGCAAAAGCAAGAGCAGATCCATTCGTAAGTCCCTTAAAAATTTCACCCTCAAAAAGGATCCACTAAATTTCTGACGCGCAGAATTGGGCCCATAAAACCACTCTTTGCAAGGTAATGTTTACGTTTGGCAAGTGAATGTGCACTGCCCATGAAGCTCAGCCCAAAAAGTGATCAAAAATCTATCACTTTGCGAAAACGGCTCCAAAAAGGACATCCTGTGTGAATGGTGAGTTTGCCAAGGTTTTACCTTAGCATTTGAGAAGTATGTTTGATAGTTTAAGCTTCGTTATTTACACAGAAGTGATTTGAGCTTGACTGATCTTCTCTAATCTGAAATATTGAAAGCGAAAATGGAACAAGCGAAACTTTGACTAATTCTTGGTTCCTCAGTTTAGAGGTTAATCGAAGTGGGATTCCTAATATAAGCAAAGATGTAGCGGCTGTTCGTATCAAGTGGAGAGAAAAGTAAATAACTCAGCATTGCAACAAAGGTGACATGTTCGAAAACGACCATCTCATTTGAGTGGCTCAATATTTGGAAACCACAGAATACATATTTATTCTCGTCTCCTTCGCATTCAATTCACGCAGTCACCCAAACTCAGCATGTTACCGTAACCCAATATTTCGCAGTATTTTCCATTTGCAGGCGTAAGAAGAAACGACTATATCTCCATGTAGAAAAAACGGTTTTAAATGAAATTCTCACTGTGTAAAGATGAAAGTTGAGCAGTAGCAACGGTATAAAAAACACAGATCTATTAGTGGTTTGAAGGCAAGTAGATGGGGAGTGCCACAAACCCTAAAAAGCTGTGGCAGCCACAGCTTTTCTGGGGTTGTACCGCAGTAGTCTACCTTCGGAGAGAATTTCGGCGAACAAAATACATTTTGATAGACAGATTTCCGTAGTTTCTATAGAGGAGCTTAGAGCTGGATTTGTCTTCTGTAGTTTGAGCAATAGTCGCTTGAAGCACAACCACTGTAGGCGAATAATGAAGCACATGAAATTGGCTGGCTGGCTGGTTCCTAATCTCATAGTTTGATGGTTATTTGAAGCAGAATTTGTGGTGTGGGCAAATAGAAAGTAGTGCTTTGTATCGAGCACAAAACAGGTAGATAATTCCCTTTTGAAGTATGGTTATTTGTTCGAAAATGGCCACTTCATTACGATGCTCCAATATTGAAAATCCTCAAAATTCGCTAAAACTTACCCACAAGGTTTTTGACATGATAATTACAAATATGTCATTAATTGTGCTTGGAAGAGCTTTTATGTCATCTACGGTATGCTGACTAATATGCGAGAGGGGGGTATCGAGACTGAACGCAGGGGGGGGGAGGTATTGAGAATGAACCCAGGGGTGGGAATCGTATCCGGCGGTTGTGTGCTACACCTCTTGCTCAACCCTGTTGATTAGTTGATTGAAATGATAATCTTACAAAGGAGGTCCGATTAGTCGAAGTGACCTTTCCAAATGAGTCTTATACCACTTTGAAGAGTATCAAACGCTGACTCCAAATCTGTTTTTATCATCTGCCGAGCGCGTCTGCATTCCGAGTTATGAATATTTTTGTGGTGCGAAAAATGAACTCATTATCTACGTAAAATCAAATTTTACGGTCTTTTCAGCGCTTTAATAAAGCAGCGTTGAGTATGAGTGTTTTGGACAGAAGATGTTGTTCACATGGAGTGCTCTAATAATCAAGATTGGACCATTTGAGCATCTGATGAATTTTGTGCTAATTAGCATTCAATTTTTCAATTAAAATTATGCTTCTAACTCGACGTCCAGAGGCGCTCGGCAGAGAACGAAGTCAGAATTGGTATCAGCGTTTAATGATCTTTATAGTCATATCAATTTCATATGAAAAGGCCATTTCGATCATTTGGATCATTCCTCCCTTGTTAGTAAAAAAAAACAAAGTAAAGAGGATTTGTGAAATTTGCACTACTATCTTGCTTTTCTAAAACAATACTTAGTTTCTGATATTTCCACTCCCACCGTTTGAGAACTAATCTTTGAACTAGTGTGCAGTGGAAGAGATGCATCTTAACCTATAGAATTATTTTGTTAACACTCCGGTGAACGTAATTAAGATGAGAAATGTTTGAACTAGTTGGAGCAAGCAGTAATTAGCATCTTCGAGCATTTACTCGAAGATATATACAGATTAATTCTATATTAATAAAAGCTGCCTTGCGATCTTCTTTTATCGGAAGTTTACAAGTGAGGACGTAAGCCATTGCATTTTGGTTGCTGATTCAATTTAGGAGCTTTATTATTTTTATATGTTACGCTCTGTTGTTTTGGAGCATTAAGCAAAAAAAATTATTCGTGGCTTGCGCTACTGTTAGAGAATGGATTGGACTGATGAGTCCAAGTGGACTTGTTGATCTATTGTAAACGTGGCGATGATTAATGGCCACATTCACAAAGCTAAGTAAAAGATCTCCAGTGTTTGCTTTACTTGTGGGTTTTGATGTTTTTGGCAAGATCAGGCAAAAATATGGAATTCTTGCTGCCGAAAAATTGCAGTACCCGTGATGCAAAAATTTCGCATGTAGCGACTCGTTCAATGAATCTTTCTACCTCCTACTAGTATACGTTTGATTCCTCGAGTACCCCTACCTGCGCAACCCAAGATTAACAAGGCCTCTAACAAAAGTGCTAACCGCGCGCAACTAGAGAATGCACACTCAGTACATAAAAGTTTGTCATGGGATATACTGTTACATTTTGAAGAAGATGAGCTAATTCCGCTTCTGTCTTCCTCATTTTTGGAAGCATTCCTGGGCGAGCAGTGTAGATTTATGCAAAAACTCACTGCGCGAAGAGAATACGATCAATCGTTAAAATTTTGTAAAGCTTAAGCAAGTGTGGTGTGGATATATCAAGGAAGAATTTATGCATAGGGTGACCTGACAATTACACTTTTCAGCCTGCTAGCAAAGGGTTAACACTATTTTTTGTTATCGTTGCACACTCGATTTTTTGCCGCTTTGAATGCCCCTAATTTCTCGTGCGCAAGTTCCGCAAATGATAAATACATCTTTGTAGTCAGCGTTGCCCTCCTATCGCGCAAACGCTCAACTATCCTATGCTCAACTATAACATCTTCTTATGGAAGGATATTGGGTGATTAAAGCATAATTATAATAATTAAACGAATAATCAAATAAATAAATAAAGTTGCATTGGCGCAGCACCTTTTCTTGAAACAGTTCCACGGATGTTGAAGGTGGAAGATTTTTTCAAATCGATATACATCTGCAAAATATGTTGAGTGCTAGTAAAGCTAGACACTTTCTGCGCTATATACCGCCCTAAGCCTGTCTTTTGCGCAGACAGGTCCGATAGCGAATACAGTAAGGTAGAGATATTGCAACACATTCTCCTAGGGTGCGTGGCGTTAGGTACCCAGCCGAAGTGCGGGCGTTA